TCGAATGGAACCCCCTTTCACAACCCTTCTCGCCCCCCTTCCCCGTTTGCTCCCCTTCTATTACGTTTCCGTCCGCTCTTGGCGATTTCTCTCGCCAATTCACCGCTTTCTCGCTCGCAGTTTCCGCAAATTCTACGTCCGTCTCGCTCGAGCTTGCGATTCTCGTTATTAGCTGCGTCCATACAAAGCGGCAATGCTCGCGCGTAATTACGTGACCTGGAATTTCAAACTGGACTGAAGAATTTTCGATCTTTGATGGATTAATCGAAGATTCATTCTACCGTGCTGAAGGACTTGCAAATGAAAGTTAATGGGAGATTATAGCGACACGCAGAGAATAAACGTGTCAGGTAAGTTATCAATTATAAACGATGACTGAAAATTGTATTAATCAGCGACAATATGTCATTTTTGCGTAATTACATATTTACATAGGTATATATGGTACGCTATACTCGTATCATAAAAAAATTCATATCGACAAATATATTGCATTAAGAACTTTTTTATAATACGAGAATAAAGCGAATATTGAACGGCGAAATAAAAAGTTTTACAGTTGTAATCGAAAAGTAATCTGATATTGTTAACCTTAATTATGTTTAAAAGCGAGCGCAACTAGTTAGCTTGCGCATATCGATTAACCTCGTGTCTCATTTTGTCACTTTGTCGAAGATCGATAAACTTTTTCGAGTCGCCGGCGTTTCCCCGGTCCCATCATCGTGTCTAATTTCGCGCATGGCTCGATCTCCATGTCGAAGAAAACACGAGAGAGCGGGAGCCCGGCGTAAATTTTCGCGCTGCAACCGACAGGCCGAGGATATTTAATCGCGGAGGCGAGAGAGGTGACGAAGCGTCCGGAGCTCGCGGTAATTTCGTCGCGGAGCGCGCATTTTTCTTTCGTCGTCGTCGTCGTCGTCGTCATCATCGTCCCCTCGTGCCCTGTCGTCGTTTAACGGCGCGTGGACGACAGGCGGGACGCGGGGAACGGCGGTGGTGCCGCCGAGAAAGGTGGAAATAGAGAAATGAAGGGGACGGAGAAATGGGGACGGAAGCGAAATTTCCACGAGAGTAAGCGAAACCCGTCCAGGTCGAACCTATTGCGGACGGTAGGAACGAAGGCTCGGGGACAAAGGGGGAGGAGGGGGGGAAACAAGAGCGAAGAATTGGTTCACAGGCGTGACGGATAACGAGGACGTTAATCACATGTTATCACTCGCTCGTGAAGGAAGATGAAAGGAGACGGCGACGCGTCGATGTCGTAGATAGAAAGAGAAAGAGAGAGAGAGAGAGAGAGAGAGAGAGAGAGGGATAGAGAGAGGGAGAGAAAGGAAGGGAGGGTGCATACGTATGTTTCTGACACCCCGTGATATAACTACACCTTTTCGTCATGAAATGTATTCCGTAAGATTATATGTAAATTCCAAAACGTGAAATTTCAAAATTCCCAGAAATATTCATGCTTTTATTCCTATGTTAATGTGAATGCACGATTTTAACGTATATGATACGTTATATTTTGACGGTTAAAAGATATTAAAAATAATTTTGATAATTTCGGAGTATTTTCTACTAACATTTTACGATCAGAAAATCCTCAGTACGATAAATTTTAATATACCTTTGAAGGCTATATTCTTGTATGAAATTATAAGAATTTGATTACGTTGTACAATTGCATATAATTAAGGCAGAAGGTATCGTAAGATGGATAACATGATTACAAAAAGGTAAAAAATTATGGTCTCCTGCAGTATCAAAGGCCACAGAGAGAGTTCCACATCAGAAAAATAACTGAACTAATTTTCGACGAGTAATTTATGGCGCGATGGCATCTTCAAATACAAAGCAAGGAGGGAAATTCAAATAAAGAGTGCGACGAACAAGAAGCCCCTATTATTGTATTATACGTACAATTGAATTCACTTCTATTATCGCGGAAGAAACGAGAGCGCGAGCATGAGCTCTCCTGAAGCGTGGGATAGCGAATACGTTCCACCGTCGACGGGGCAGCGGGGATGAAAAAAAAAGGAGGGTGGGATAAGGGATGAAAAGTAATGCCGCGACGAGACTCTCGGCGCCGCTATGGTGGAGACGCCGCGGCGGATAAACTAAACGGGCACGTACACAACGCCCCGCGACAGCGGGGGTTCCGTTTCACGGAGCGTCGTCGTCGTCGTCGTCGCGAGATACCGTGTTTTGCGAATACAGATACCGTGCCCAGAAATTACGACGGATCGACCCGCGTGGAAATTAAAGCCGAAACCACTCGAGCCGGGAGAGCGAAAAGGGAATGCCGAGGCGCGCGCGGTACGGGCGACCCGGTTACAAAAATTAATTTCGCGCTCCTTTGTTCGCGCGGGTAACGTAAAAATCGCGCGAGATTGCCGGTCGGAATATTGCTCGTATAAGTTGCGACGGAAACATTAATCATATAGACTCGTTCCTTCTCTCATTTTTGCCCGTCCCTCGCCGAAACCGACGGAATCCATATACAGATTCTCGTCGCGTGAAGTCGCGACACTGCGCACTAGAAACACATCGAAACGTTCTCTCGGGCAACGCGCCGCCTGTTCATCTTGCAATTCGTTTGTCCAATTAGTTTGAAAGCGCAACTGTTACGTATATTAAATCGCTGGCTCGAACCGAGTCCGCTCTACGTGAAAGTGACGTTATCCTTTGGCTCGTTCGTGAGGCTTTTTTTGCAACCGTAAGCGCGCGCTAGGTTTCTCGCGAACGTCATAGAGGTGACATCGGCCGGGTGAGCTACGGTGAGACCTGGCAGTTAAAAAGTTGAAGGAGCTGCTCGAGTATATCCGGATGAGTTTATGGAACGTCCGTCCCGCAAAAAAATTCGACGCGCGCTGCGCGAGATTTAGCGTCGTGCAGCAGCGACGCAACGAGGAAAACTCCGGAGCTCCTTCGCGAAAGAGCGAGGGAGGGTTTGAGCAAGTTTCTTCGACCACTTTCTTCAAACTCCCGCGGAATCCTTCTTACTTTCATCATTAATACGAACTGCGTCGATCTAATTTTCCCGGTGGCTTATGTACACGAGCGGCGAGCAACGAGGTCGTTATCAGAAACGCGGCCGTTCCGTGCCGTTTAAACGGCGCCTGCGGTATTTTCAGTCATCGAAAACATCGTTTTGCCGATAACGAGTCTTGCGAGATGAAGCACTTAACTCGCAAACAAGAAAATTAAAAAGTAGAACTATAAATATCCCCGTGAAACGTTCGCCGCGTAAAAGTTTATTTCAGGTTTATCAAAGAGGTAATTTACGGAGTATGCGTCATTAATGGCGAATCGCGATATCACTGGGCGTTGTCGTTGTCGTTGTCATAGAAAATTAAACGCGCCAAACTCGAAAGAATGGCAAAGGGAGAAGTAGCGGACGACGCTCTTCCATCGGATTGATGATTTAAACGGCGCAGCGAATAATGAGAAAAGGAGATAAAGGAGGACGAGGGGTTGGGGGAGCGGGGCGACAAGAACCTCTTTATTTCCTTTATCGCGGCACACGAAAGGCGAGAGGGATTCGCTCAGCGAAGTCGCTGTACGTATAGTACGAGCAACTCGGCTGATTTGTACGCATATCGGAGACCCTCCCGTAATCCCCCCCGGCAGCGCTGGGGAAAACGTGAAATCTGCGCGGACCCCGATTTTTCGTTCGCCGCGAGTGTACCTATTTCGAAATCCCGGTGCGCGCGTTTGAAGGATACCGGGATTGCTTACGGCGAATATATAGAAATCGGAATTACGTCGCTTTTGATCACCGGCGGGATGTACAGGTTTCCAGATTTAGGTGCGGCGTCTCGCCAATATTTAAACATCCCCGATACCAATCGCCCGTTTTATATATATAAACTGCTCTTTAAATCAATTCCTTGGACATTTTCGAGGCTGACGCAGATATATCTTTATACAGTCGACTTAATAAAACCCACATCCATTATTTTCTATCTTCTCCAATCGCGGATGTTATAGAGGGAACGGTCTCTCGCTAAGTTTCGTGCAGCTCGTATAAATTTTCAAACAGGCGCACGTATTTATTTTTGAAACGGAAACGACCGATTTCCTTTGACTGGAAGAAACAACGTAGTACCTCGTAGACGTCTATATTGGAACAAGACCTTCGACTAATGCAAAGAGGGCCGTAATAAATCGACAATAGAGCGTAATAATAATAGAGCGACGCGATCGAAGTGGTAATTAAAATCTAACGCTATCAAGAATTCACCTCCAACCTCGAGATGAATTGTTGCGGAACACGCGACGTGATCGATCATCCGCGGCACATTACCGAATAAAAGGCCTCATCGTGCTATCGTAGAATCCGCAACGAGTAAAAGGCAGCGCGATCCGTTCGTATTTCCATGTCAGCCATGTGCGTACTGCTTTTGAATAGCAAGTATTTCGCAGAAGGGAACGAGTCTCATTCTTATACCTCTTTCTTTTTGTCGAGAGATATAGTATATGTGTGTGTAGTCATCATATACTGGAAAAGGGTACGCTGTTCTTAGCGTATTTCGTTTTAACGTCCACGTTTCCTTCTTTTTGTGGGTAGATTTTGTTCCGATTACGGAGTGCAAGTCACAAGAGACATTTACTACGTATAGAAAAATGAATAGTTTGAATAATAATAATGAAAACTTGCTTGTTAAACATAATCGTATTGAAAAATAGAAGCATATATAAATAATTCTAATCCTTTTTCTGGAAATTATTCAGATTCCTTTTATAGCTTTCACAAAGGCCATAAAAGGAATCTGAATGCAATCTCTGAAGAAAAGGCTAATCCTTTACAATCCTGCACTTCTCTGTATGATTTCAAAATCTGTGCTAAATGTTCGAGAAACCATCTCGTCAAATTGAAATAAACTGTCTATTGACATTCTCGCGGCAAATTAGCGCCAAACCCATCAGACCTTCAAACCGGTCCTGAGGGCGATGCAAACAGAGTGAGTATCTATCCGAGGGCATATACCGGGTGTGTGACTCACCTCGAATGCAGAGCGCAGCCGCGCTGCACCGTGATGTAACTCGACGCTGGTGGTGGCGGTGGGGGTGTGAGGTACGTCGACGGTGGTAGTTCATGTCTGTGGGGATGGCCGTGGTGGTGATTATGAGAATGGCTCAGGGAACCTCGCAGAGTCCCAGGCAGATGGCGATGTGGCGTTGACTGCTCGCTGGAAACATCAACGGGGAAAAAGACGTTGGTCAGAGGGCGATCGATACTGGAACTCTCGCGCGGTTATTCTTTTCCCACCGGGTATATATACCGGGTACAGATGAGGTCCTACCAATGGTCGATCGTGCAGAAAAGCGGTCTACTGTCGGTAATATCCAACGCAAGATAAGAGGGGTGCAATTTCGTACAGATATATAATTACAAAGTCGCATAATTCATTTATGTAAATCATTTTTCAGTAGTACTTTCTGCAGAAAACAGATTAAATTTTTTTGAAACGGTAGAATATGATAAATAAAATTAGACGTTTTTGGTTTTAAATATTTAGGAAATATTCTATTTTGTTTAAAATATTATTTATATTGAAAAGACAGTCTAAATTTTTTATCTCAATGTACAAAAAATAAAGTGAGAGAGAAATCCGGTGTCTCTTCTTGTAATAAATTACAAAAGTATGCGCGCAGGATAAAATTCTCTTAAATCTCGCAATCCCATAAATTTTATGTAACAGTAAAACATTCGGAATTTCACTTCTTAAATTAATTGATATTTTAAGTCATGTCATTTTATATCTGATTTTTTTTTGTTTTCTTGGACCGTGCTTGTTGTCGCATATACATGTTCTTCTCGTGATAAAAATTTAAAGAGTTCTAATTCTTATCCAATCGATAAAGTATTATCAGATAAAACACGTATTTCAAATCTTTTTCGCACTAGTGTTAATGTTTATTTTAGTGATAGCGTCACGGTCTTGCTGTATATTTCAATACTTATCGGTTATCGAGCAATATCAGATAAATGCTAAAGAAACATTTGTCATCGTTAATAATAAGAGGGAAAAAAATATAGATTCATAACAAGAAATATAAAATATGCTTTATTTTAAAAGTTATATCAAAGTAATTCCGAAAAAGTGAATTTATGAAAAAATTGGCTCAAGCATTTCATAATTTTAAGAAAAAAATATAATACAATACATTTTTCATACATTTTTTAGTAAAAGATTCACTTTAAGGATTTCATCTTAATATCTTCATCTTAATCTTATGCATAAAATAAGATTGAATTGATTAACACATGAAAAAATACATAACTGCAATTAAAAAACATTTTTTTTTGTAACGCGTAATTATATGTTTTTTTCTTTAAAGCTATTATGTTTTGTTCATATTAATTGGTTCATTTTTTACTTTATATAATAAAAATATTAAATTAAATTTACCAGAAAATAGATATTTTATATGATATTTTGTGCGAAAAAACAGAATAAAATATCTCTTGAACTATCGATTTTTTGATAAGCTTATCTTAATACTTTTGTATGCAGAATAACTCTAGAAGCGTTGTATTACGTTAAAAAAAGCGTATAGCTTTATTTAAAAAATATCGATAAGATTAACATCATACAAAAATGCATAAAAAATATATTGCATATTTTCCTGTTAAAATTGTGAATGCCTGAGTGATTATTTTCATATAACTCGCCTCAAAATTCAAAATTACTAAATTGTTGCTCTTAAAACAGAACAATCTATTTTTTGTTCGATATAAAATGTAAATTGACATTCTTCAACATTATAACTCATTTTGCTTTATATATTATGGTAACTGTTGGCTCGAGAATTTCTTCATAAACAGACAAATATACATATACAAACTCTTTCCTTCATCATGGATTTTTTGGAATTCGATTTGTTTTCACACCTGCCAGTAATTGCAGCGGGACGTTCGTTACATCCGGTCGCGAAGCACCATCGCACCTGGGCCCCCTTTATCCAGAAATTCTGGTGGGGAGGGGAGGTTGTGTGCACAATAGACGAGCGTCTCCATCCGGAAAGCTTCGTTATTTGTTCGAAACATTTCCGTATATATTTATCGCAATTTCGATGCTTGTTTACGAGCGAAATCATTAGTTTACTAATTAACGAGTTTTCTGACAGATGTAAATTTACTCTCTGGGCGAGAAAGATGTAATCATTCTGAATAAATGGGTAAATGGGTAAACATTTAATGCAAAGAAACATGATTATTGATCGTTCTACAAGTGCAAACAAGTCGTGTATATTCCTGCAAATCGATATTTTATACGTTCAGTCATTCAATTCGCGTTTTTTTCGAATCTAAATTTTTTTTTTAATAAAAAAAGGCAAGGCTGCGCGAGAAAGATTTTAATTTCTGTACTGGAATAAACATGTTACAAGCGTAACGATTGTGCTCATAATTATGTAACGTTTCTCACAGGTAGATAAAGTTTATCGCAGTAGAATGTGAAATCCCCAACGTGAAACCGGAAATGTCAAAAGGAGCGACTGTGGTCTCCTTAACAAACTGAGGGGGTTCTTATCTGCCACCGAACTAATCGTCCCGCTTTCTGTAGTGCCGCTATCATTCAGTCGGCCAATAAAAAAAAAAGAGGGAGAAAAAAGCGCATGTCCGGTGCGCACGATACAATGAACGCAACGGTTTTCACACGGGGCTTCCTCTAACAGGCTCGGCTGGAAGCTTGAAGCTTCATTCGTCTGAACGCGAGGCGATTAAAAATTTTTCATAAGACGGCGCGAAACTTCGCTGATGAGTTCGATGAGTTTTTAATAGACGATAATGATTCCGCGGGGCGGAACTTTGATCGCGCGTACCATCGGCTGGAAGTATGTATGTGCTCCGACACGCTGTAATGAAGCCGGGCGCGCAAAGTTCTAAGAATAGCGATGCCTGGGAGATGAAGACTGACGTGCGTTTCGCGAAAGAGAGTAATTAGACGTCGCGTCGGCCGTTATCAAGATCCATGCGTGTAACAGTGAATCGCTGAGTAATTAGGTGAACAAGAATAAACATGTACGGCTAATTCAACGGTACGGTACATCCTTTCCGTTTTGAATTGTTTGAACAACGGAATGATGCGATTGCAAGATATGGTTTCTCAGAGACAAGTCTGCGGCGGAGAAATTAAGTGAGTGTGCACACACTTTCGAGATCAATTAAATTAATAAATTTGTCGGTTAGATCTCGAGGCTCATCAAGTTACTCAGAAATTCGACATTTATTTAAATGGTTTTCAGTAAAAAAAATATATATATATTTATATAATTTACTATACGCATGCCGGAATTGTTTTTCGAAACATTCGTATATTCGAGAGCTTTCAGCAGGTTACTTATTTCGTTTGCGTTTCGTTCCATAATTTATGAAACTTAAATAAGGATGAGGTCAACATGAGCCAGCATAAACGTAATGATACAGTACCAACAGTGTTGCAAACAGCGGAACGTTTCAACCTTTACTCGGATCTTCTCCAATTAAAGTAAAGTACCGTTGCGAATGGCGGAATGTTTCAGCCTTTATTCGATTCCTCTTCAAGCAAAGTAAAAACATCGGTTTTAGTACGTTGTTTTGAGGAGGGTTAAAGAAAAATTGAAATGTAACTTTTAATATCGCATTTATCGCATGGATATTCGTGTTTGACTCATGTTATTCCTTTATTCAGATCATTTTTCTAAGAGCTCGGCAAGACATATCGGGACCAGTCCAATTTCTTTATTAATTCATTTATTACGTGTAAAACTTGCATTCCCTCCTCGGTTACTACGGCTTATCGTTCGATGCGCCAACGTCGATAATCTTGGACCTTGTAGTCCCTTTGTATTCCCGGGGAATTTTCGCAGGAGATTAAAGAAAGTTTTAAGCAAAGAATTTGTTACATCCGAAACTACGTAGCGGCGAAAAGCGAGAACTCGGATCGATACGCGGGGGCTTAAAAATGCAAGCCCCCGCAAATCCGCCGCGGATGCACCGGTGCTCCCGCAACCGTTATATTTAAGACAAGTCGTGCGGAGAGGAGGAGGGCTTCCCGAAAAGGGTTTCGTCGCGCAAATGTTTAACGAGAAAAGTCACGGAAAAAAAACGCGAGGAGCGTTTTCGTGTATCCGCGCAATTCGCCCGATGCAGCACGCCCGTGCAATAAGTTATGCGAGCCGGGGCGAAAGAAGGGCAAACGAGCGCTGCGGAGCGTACGGGACAGGAAGGAAAGATTGTGAAGTATATTTTCTGCGCGTATGAATGTTTCAAAGTGGCAGCAAAGACACGCTTTATCTCAGGCCGCGTGCGCCTCGAACTTTACATTTTACGGCCGAAAAATTACGACTCGTTCTCTGCAAATATTCCGTAAAAAAAGAAGGAGTATGTGAGGATAACACGCGCATAACGTAAGACGCAAATCAAGAGACGAGAAAACGGCTGCAAAACGCAAAAATTGTTCGTCCCCCCCCTTCCTCTCTTTCTCTCTCTCTCTCTCTCTC